TAAATACATAACTAGGGTTTGAGGTCCATTAAGGTTTTCATTATTCTTGCTAGCATAAGAGAAAACCCTAGAGGCTGCAATCAAATTCTCTGTGTGGATTACCGTTGGAGGCTAGACAATTGGACAGCTGTGGTGGCGAATCAAAGTTGTGGAATGAAAAGAAAAGCAAAAGGATTGCAGATCTGGAAAATGTACAATCTTATCACAATTCCTAACCAAACACAATGAGATCTATTGGATGGGAATCGAAATATATTTTAAATTCCGCTGTGCATGTATAAGTAGATTCCCAACAGACACGAGCTTCTATTGTGAATACAAAGTTGAACAACAATGGTGGAAATATTCTTGATAACCCAGGTTGAGCTATATGCAAGAAAATTAAGACATGTTTTTCTTAAGAACTTTTTTACTTTTTATTACCCATTTTCTGAAATACTGTTGGACGTTCATTATTATGTAAATATACTTGGAATTAATAGACATTCATTTATATCTAATGAGTGTTTATAATTAACGTCATTAATTATCATCTAATTACGGGCTTACCTCATACTGAATCTTTGGTTATTTTTCTAGTATGTAATTTAATCTTTCATTATTGGTAGACTTTCTGACATTCTAATCACTTTGTGTCTGTGTGACTAATATTTGATAATAACTTATATGCTGCAATCAAATTATCACAGTTACTTCTTGATTGAGGAATTAATGTCTTCAATACTTTCGTAAATGAGTTCGTGTTTTTTGAACTAATCAAATCGATTATAATCACTCCCAATGTGGCTGTGTGTTAAAATATAATCAAGGGTTCGATCAAGCCCGTAGTTTCATTTTCCACAAATTCGAACATACCTGTTCGCTAATGTCATGTAATTTTCCATTACAACTTCCTAATGTACATCAAAATCAATGAGCTTGAGATAGAGCCCAATGAAACTATCAAGTATTCCAAACTACTTCAGCTCTAGCCTCCAAGAAGAAAGTCAAAAACTAATATAGGCTAGAAGACTTTTAGTTTACCCTTTGACACAGATGCCTTTACTTGCTGCAAACGACACGATGCTTTTTGTGCCCCCGTCATTTCAGTGCACGAATCACGAGCCCCCAGAGTGACAGCAAAGTACAGATATACAGAGCAGAGAAATGCTAGGAGAGCAAGAGCAGTTAGAAGGAATCGGTGTCGCTGAAGAAGAGTTGAACAGCTTCCTAATTCGTCATCCCGTGAGGAGTTCTCTCTTTTAAATGATGGTGAAGAGAAAACAGTCTGTGTCTGCGACCTCCTATGAGGTGAAGTTATTACGCTGTCAAGAGGCATCACTAATATGATGGCCTTCTGCTTCCACGTCTAAATGTCTGCAAGTTTTTAACGTGATCAAATTAGTAGAGAAACTTCAATTCAGCTGAACTTACGTGGACAAGGAGAACACATAAATGATCAAAAGACGAACTTTATCTCCTGCGGACAAACTCTAACCGAGTACAATTTATATGACAAAATATGAAAATAATAAGACACAGAAAGACAACCAAAGGTTTAGGTAACTTAGAGGTCTAACAGTTACCAACATGTAGCCAATACTGAATTTATAGGTAATTACTGGATTTTAAATATACCGACGAATTTTCAAATGTCCGTGTGAAATATTCATCAACAACGAATTGAAACCCATTTACTCAAGCTATGGAAGCAGCAATTTACTGAGGCTGTCCAGAATACCAGCCAGGTGAGATGAAGATTGCCTTTAACGTGTCAGTTAAACTTTCACAGAAACGTATGAATCCACTTTGTTCACGACTCTGAAGCACTTCTGTGTTTCAAGTAATAACGTGCCTAATATAATTGCTTAGACTTTTTGTGGTTAATATTGACACACTCTGCAAGAAAAATATAATTAGGTGCAATACTTTGCAGCAAGACACACAGCACTAATCCTAGAATGACAATGCATACAACTTTAGAAAAAACTAATGGACAGATGACTGTAGTAACCAGGTCATGAGTTCTAAGAAAAGCGAAAAGGGTCATATGGTCAGCATGTCTAAGAACTTCATCAGTTCCATCGCCTGAATTTTTCTTTTTAGCGATCCCATCACATGTATCATTTAGGCTGCTGATCACTTCTGCTATGAGCTGATTCAGAATTAGCTAGTGACTGAATTTGACTAACAGAGTTCTCTAAGAAATGCCAAATATTCTCTCCTTAAGTATATAATGAGATAATACTTTTGCAGAACGTGTTCCCTCCGATTTGGCTACTTGTGACTTTACACAATAGGCTCTTAAATTCAATGTACTTAACACAAACACCACAAAAGGCATTTATTGGTCTTTCTTTTTCCCAATTGCACCTTAGTTAATTTTCTAAATCTCTATAACTCAAGTTGATCTACAATCCAATTCATCAATCACCACCATCCAGTTTTTATATCAACACGTCATTCACTAAATCCAAAACAACTCCGAAAAGTTCCAGTTCGGTTGATTCGCCCTGAAATAGAATCCAAATAATTTATCATCTCAATCGCAAAGGTAATATGTTCACAAAACTTATACACATACAACCTATATATAAGTAGTTAAATCGAACAGATCTGCAAGCATCCGTGATTATTAAGCACCCACATGTGACACGTACAAATGCATATATAAATATAATCTTTGCGTGTGTGAAAAGAGAAATAGACAAAGGAATTTACGAATTGAGAAATGAAAGTCTAGCCAATGATCCGAGCTGGTAATGATCGAATCCACTTTTAACACAGAAAAACAACAGTCTTGTATCAATTCCTCCAAATCAGGATTATTTTTCAGCTTTAGGGTTTTAGGAAGTGATTACACGCACTGTTTCTGACTAGCTTTCAATTCCCAAATCTGGGTTTTCTGCTTTAGATTTTGATTGGGTAGAAGTAAAACGAGTCCATTTTGGAGGGCCACATCAATTGGTCAATTCATTCGGGTCGGGCCGGGTCGGGCCAAAGTATATCATAGTATTGGACCATATAAACTTTCAGAACTGACCTACTAAGCACTTGGGTGACACACTACAATAAATGGTGGGAGATATCCATTAGTTACAAAATTAATTATACCACCTATTGTAGTGTGTCACATCCTCTAGTACTTAGACGATCAATTTCACATAGACTTATTACGGCTCAATTATGTCAATATTTTAAAACTAGTAGATAAATAAGTTAGGGATTCAGGGGTTGAATCAAGATGGAGACATTTAGGGCATGTTTTGGTAGTAATTATGAGAATTGATTTTTTGATTATTAGAGAGAAAAATGGATCTTATCTGTGAATAAAAAAGTAAAAAATAATAACTAAAATAGTGAAATAACGATAAAAATTTAATTTTTTATGATGAAAAATTATTACCAAGCGGGCTCAATAAATGGAAAAAGGTTAAGCCCCTGTTTGGTACGCATTTTTGGAGCCAAAAATGCATTTTTTCCGTCACATCAGCACACAATTTTTGACTTCTACACTCTCATGGGGGACCCGCGATTTGATGTTTAAAATGCATTTTCATCAACAAAAATGTGCACCAAACGGACCCTAAATTATGGGTAGTTATGAGTTTCGTCAGTCCAATAGTCTAGTCTGACCAAGTTCTTATAAAATAAGTTTGAGTTTGACTATATATTATAACTTTTAATGAAACCAGACATAGCCTCCGTTCGACCTTTATTAATTACATTTTATTTTTTTCTCTCCTATTTCTAATTACACAATCTTACATAAAATAATATTACACGTAAATCAAAAATTTTTACTTCTTTTTCAATCATTCATTTTTCAAAAAAAATCATTCTACCAATTTTTATTTCCAAGAAATGGGGGCCAAACGGGGGCATATGTATAATTACGACAACCCTAACAACATACAATTTGTAGCGGTATTCATTATCAATGCTAAAGATTTTATTATTATTATTATTATTATTATTATTATTATTTTGAAACTAGGATAACGACCCTAATACCTTTTATAAAGAAAAGAAATATTAGAACGACATAAATATATTAACTGTCAAATATACTTTTATAATAACATTAAAAGTTTTCGACTCGATGATCCATCCTTCAAAACATTAAAATTTTCATTTCAAGTATTCATCCTTCAATACCCATTGAGTTTATATTGGAGGTCACTTCAATAAAGAAACGAGACGATAAAAATGGCTCGTGAACCAGCCCATAACCCGAGTTAGCTGGTCTTGGGGCCGGACTGACATGACCACGCCGATTCGTTACATGGACGGGTCACTTTTGAACCGACCCGTACATATTTATACCAATTCCCAAGTATAATTACACTCCACATGTCTAAAATTTACACATGTTCATGAAACATAACTACAAATAGAAAAGCGGAAAAGAGAGACCGTATACAGACGTCACAAGTGGCGGGGTTCCTTTTCATAAAGCCAAACGCTCCCTTCGCCACCTTCGGCCATGTTGGCGGCGAACCGCTAGCGCCGCCCCCTTTTCTTTCTCTCTCTATCACGAGAAAGCGGAGTAAGCAAACCCTTGACTTTTAAGTTTGACCCAGTCAAAGGAATTAAATTCCACTTTGACTTTCAAAATCATGAATATTATGACATTGGCCTCTTGTATGGTAAAAAACAAAGATGCCCTTAAATGTTTAGTACAATTACAAAATAATATATTGTTGAAAGAACTTTACTACCCTTTTAGTTAATAATAGAAAATCAAACACTTCCCCACTTATAAAAACTTCAAAATGAGCTTCCAACACAAAAAAACTCTCATCTTTTCATCTGCTTGAATCTCAAAATCTAGAAAAACTTTGAAACGTTGAAGTCGGGAATTTTTTTCATATCAATTATTTCAAATCGGTGAGTACATTTATGCATGTTTAATTTTATTTTCAGTAAATTAGTATACGTTTGAATAGAGAAATTTTATGTCGACTTAGTAGTTAGCATAATTTTTTTTTAACAGATCTTACCTATCAAAAAAAATTGAGCAGATGTATAAAATTTTTCTTTAGAACCGTAGAAGAATTCCTGCGCAAAAACAGCCAAACAGTCGGCAGTCGGCTGTTTAACAGCCAATTAACACCGACTCTGCATTGATTTTTGTTGGCACTGATTTTATCTTATAATGAATAAATGAAGTTGATTAAATCTATTTCTTCATGCAGATATGATAATCCCCATCTGTTATTTCGGTGATTTCGAATTGAATGAAAATAATCGGTGGGAGTGGAGATGGACGAGTGACAAATGTGGTTGTATTGAAATTCCCATAACAGATAGTACATCATACTTAGAAACGTATAACGATTTACAAAATAAGTTGAATGTCAATCAATCTCAATACGATATGCAATTGAGATATCTATTTAACGGTTATGGGGATTCATCCATTCCGATTCCACCGGTAGTCGTTACTAATGATGCTGAATTGAATTATCTATTAGAATTGAATAAAATGCATCGGACTCCGATTGCTCTTGGTGTGACTTTAGTTAAGAAGGATGTTATCGAAGGTGAACGTGAAGATTCAAATAGGGCGGACAATAATGACCGAGGTTTTTGGGAGACAGTGGAGATAGTTCCTGCGGACGATGTGGTTATTCCTGAGACAGTTGCTCCTGATCGTGATGTCACTGTTACGCATAGAATTCTATCGACAGTTGAAGACAATGAGAATATAAATGAGTTTACAAATGAGAATTTGATTGCTTTATCCCAATAGAGACATGAGGTGGGTGGGAGCTCACGGGTTAGAACAAGTGGACCGTCCTCCAATTCTTTCTGTGTGGCTCCTGATGATGAGGACTTGCAGGTCGAGCAACTGTTTGAAACCAAGAAAGATTTGTAGGAAGCTGTGCACCGACTGACATTAAAATATAACTTTGAGTTCAAGGTAAAGAAATCAAACAAGTCATTGTTGACAGTTGCCTGCGTCGAAGACAGTTGCAATTGGCGCTTGAGAGCAACTAAGATGGACACAAATGAGTGCTTCGTAATTCGCAAGTATTCACAGGAACATACTTGCGAAGTGGGAATTCTTCGAAACGATCACAGGCAAGCTTGAGCATGGTTTATTGATCGACAGATAATGTACAAGTATCAGGACCCACGAACGATCTACATACCTTCGGACATCATTAATGACATCCGTCGAGAGTATGGAGTGGTCATGAGCTACCAGAAAGCTTGGAAGGCTAAAGAATGTGCGTTGGAGGATTTAATGGGATCGGCTGAATAGAGCTATACTAAATTGGCTAGGTATTGCCATAACATGGGGACAACTAATCCTGACACGACATTTTTTATTGAGACGAGGGGCGATAATTGTTTTAAGTATTTCTTCATGGCTCTCGGACAATGTATTCGGGGTCTTCGAAATGCAATGCGACCCGTAATTCTAATTGATGGTACAACTCTGAAAGCTAAATATCAAGGCAAATTAATTATTGTTACATGTCAAGACGTCAACATCCAAATTTACCCTATTGCATTCGGCATAGTCGACAGCGAGAATGATCTGTCCATGCGTTGGTTATTTTCTAAACTGAGGGAAGTGATCAGGGAAGTCGAAGACCTTGCCTTTGTAACCGATCGGGGACAGTATATAATAAACGGTATCGCTGAAGTTTTTCTCGAGGCATATCACGGGTATTGCATGTACCAAATATAAGGTAATTTGAAGACTAGATATCGGGGCACAGGCATCGTTTCATTGTTCAGGAGAGCAGCCGAAGCTTACAATGTTGAAGAGTGTAATAAGTTCATGATCGAGATAGGAAGTAAATCATTACCGGCGTTGGAGTATCTGACGAACATTGGGCGCAGTCATATTTTTCAAGATGTCGATACAATATGATGACGTCGAATAACGCGGAGTCTCTCAATGCATTGTTTAAGAAGGATAGAGAGTTACCAATTCTCGCAATGATTAAGAACTTTCGTAACAAGCTACAATAGTGGTTTCATGACCGACGTGTGGCATCACTGAGTTGCACTAGCATGTTGGCCCCAGCTCAAGAGGAGAAACTATTTAAGCCGGCAGAGTTTGCGAGTAAGTTGAATGTGGAAGCACTAGATGAGTTTCGCTTTTCCGTGCAATGTGCACGTAATACGGCATATATGGTGGACTTGACTGATAACACATGCACTTGTACGAGATTTCAGTTGGAGAGTTTTCTATGTGAACATGCAGTTGCGGTGGTCATGTATCGAGGCTTTACTGCGAGAACGTTATGCTCTTTGTATTATACGACTGAGTCTTAGAGAACAGCATATGCTGAGACTATATTTCCTCTGCCGAATGAAGCCGAGTAGGAAGTTTCCTAACACATTCTCCCATTTCATAATTTGTTGCCACCAACAATTGAACCGCGTGGTCCTGGACTTTCAAGTACATCTAGAATACCATATATCGGAGAGTTTTCTCGACCGCGTAGGTGTGGCAAGTGCAGAGCCGTAGGGCATACTCGACAATTTTGTACCAGTTAAATTCCCCTAAATGACGATTAGACATGTACGTTAAATGATTAATATTTCATTTTACTTTACACTGTTCAATATTTGTTCTTTATAAATTTTCGATGTTCAATATTTATTTTTATATAAATGGTATTTATGATGATTCGTATGAAAAAAATAGTTCCATACTCGACCTACGTGTAAAATAACAAAACAAAAAATATAATTAAATTTCCAATGTGAATGTTACATACATTAAACACAAATTAACAATTATTTTATAATCACAAAAAATAATTAAATTTATAATTGAAATGTTACATATATTTAATACAAATTTACGGGTTAGCATTAAATTCGAACAAATTACATGCTAGCTTCTTTTTCCAGTTCTGTATCCACGATTGGTTGATTCCATCAACCTTATGCCCTATACTTAAAAATTCAACGTACTTAATGGCAAATATGCCGCAGTCGCCACTGCAATTGAACAAGAATGAATCAATTCAGTACTGTGTAACTAAAAACTAAATTTGAAATATAAAAACAACAAAGTTCAAACAGTTACCTTACGGACTGTCGCGCTGTCGTCGTGTTCCAAACAATTCGCAAACAGTTACCTTACATTTATCTCCACTCGTTCGGCCATCATAGGAATAATTACAGCCACGAACTCCAGATTTTGCTCCAACTGGCCTTGTGTCAAACGTGAATTATCTGGATCGTACACATATACAGTCGAGTCAGCAAAAACGATCTCTGGCGTAACATAGTGTTTATTGATGCACGCTGGAATGTACATATGTGTACAACCCTCCCATGATTTTCCCCCGACACTCGGTGACGGTCCTATCACCCACTCAAGCATATATTCTGGCACCGTGTACTCGTTATCCATAAGTTCGAGCGGTTGATACTCTATGGTAACTGCACGCAAGAACTCGGTGTTTAATATGACTCGACCATGGACATCAAATGATTTTGGATGTCTTTGAGCTCGATCTCGCAGTAAGTCTATGGGCAGGTCGATGTGCTGCAACATGAAACACCAAAAAAGTATGAGTTATTCATTTAATAAACACAAAGTGACGTATAAATAAAATACACGAAATGAATAATTCACTTACATCGTCGGCGAGCCAAGCTCCCACAGTGGTGATATCGTAGAACCACTTGTAAGGGTCTGAGACCATCCTTTGACCTATCGTGCGGCTAACTCTGTAAAAAACAGGGAAATGTTAAAATAAGCGTAGAAGAGTTAGTGTACAGTGCTTTATTAAAATCATACAACTTATCCGGGGATACTTCTCCGTCACTCTGTCTCGAACGCTTTCCACTTGGCATTGTCCACCTCTCTGAATAAGTTCGGGTGCATCCCATCGATGAACGTCCTCCTCTTGGCCTTAGCCGTGAAGGGGGAAACAACATACTGTGACGGCACTTTCAACCTCTTGCCGACTACCTGCTCCGTCTCATCAACAGCATGTCTCTTACCCTCAATCACGCCGGGCGTCCTCTCGACCTCAGGGGCCACCTCCTCCGCCTCCCCCCTTCGTTGCCACCTCCTCCGCCCCTCCCGTCGGGGCCACCCCCTCCATAGACAACCACAGTGACTCCAATGTCTCATCAAGCCAAAAATGTAGGTGACCCCCCTCTCCATCACCATCTCTACCACCCTTTCGATCATGATCTCCGCCATCCCCTCTGTCCCCCCATCGTCTACCGGTTAAATCTCCTCTAAGCGCCGCTACTGTATCCTGAAGGTCGACAACGGAAGACTGTAGTATTCCAACATCATGGGATAGATCGTCGACCCTCCCCGTCAACTTTCGTCCTATATCGTCGACCCTCCTTGTCAACTCTCGTCCCAAATCATTGACCCTTTCCGTCAAATTTCGTCGTAGCGCGCCGACCTCCTCTGCTATAAATCCAGTCAAACGAGCATACAAAACATCAGTATGTGCCGGAAACACACGGGGGAGGTGTCTGGACAGAGGTGATGCCAATGGCTGCGGCGATGCCCTCGGCGGAGGTGATGCCACTGGCGACGGTCATGCCCTCAATGGAGGTGATGCTAATGGCGGGGACGATACTTTCGACGAAGGTGATGTCAATGGTGGCGGCGATACCCTCGACGGAGGTGATCGTGGATCAACTGGACCGCCCTCCTACATAAATAACTTTACAAATTATTCAATAAATTTATACGTTGACGATATTTAATAAATTATATTTCATTCACATACCCAATCTCGGTCCAAACTCGGATCAGACATCTCCTCGTTTGGGGTGTACGAAACGCCTAAATCCCGCACAAGACCCCAAGCCTCCTCTTCCATCGACGGCGTCAACTCAGGTATGACTTCAAGCTGACATATTGACATTTCAACTACTTAACGATCATGTAAACAGAATTTTAAACTACGTATAATATAAATCGCAAATGCATAATACTTACCTGATGATCGTCGAGGAGGGCCGATAACTGTTTCCCAGTGGGACATCCCTCCGCTCGCGATGATCTCTAATGATGCATCCGAGGGCAGCGTGTCTCCCCTCACTGCGCAAAGCGGGCCCTCAATACAGGGACTGTCTCATACACCCAAATCTGTAACACATACACTTATTATGCACTAATGTAATATACTAAAACTTTAACTTTGATTATATTAAACATTTACCTGCACCGCTAAGGGCAATCCATATTTATCGTATTCACGCATCGACCCCCTGGGCCTCGAGTGTGCTCTGGTGAAGACATGTACAGTGTTTTCGCAGTATCTCCGGCCCCATGGATAGTTGTTGAACACATCGATATCGTCAACAATTTGTAAATGAAAAATGTCGATGGCAGTTTTCTTGTGATGACACCTCATCACACTCTCGAGGATGTAGACCAGCCCAAACTTCAATCTATCTAGCATCTGGTCGTACCCCCTGATCGCGACCATCAAGTCGGGTAGAAGCACCGACCCATGTCCCTAGAAGTACGTCTCGTATAGCCTATTGCTTCTCTCAATGGCTGTATCGTCGCTCGTAATCTTCAGTCCAGTGATCAATGTAAACTCAAACGTCGAGACACTGACGACCTTGCCCCCGAGATCAAACTGGAGGGAATCACCGTCCACTGACCTCAGAAGCCGACATAGAAGTGCATCGATGATCTGTCCTGAGTAGTGCACCTCTCGCAACTGGTACAATGGCCACAAGAAGGACTGTCGTAGCATATCTCTGTGCTGATCATCAAACAGCTCCAACACAGTAGTAAAAATCTCAAAGCTACTGTTCCAAGTAGCCTTCCCCGCCATCCATCTCAACTCCCCATCTAAATGATACTCTGTCCTGCAAAAATTCAAATGTTAAAGTATTGAACAAGAGATAACAAAATAAAGCATAATCTCACAAAATCAAGGGAATCGAATTCTAACTACCATACAATACGTATTAAAATAAATTAGTTATAAAAAAAATTAATCACAAATATTACATTTGGAAAATATATTTAAAAAAAATCAAATTAAATACATTTTCAAAAAAATTAAAGAATATAAATATTATTTAAATAAATTAGAAAAAAATCAAAGGTGAAAATAAAAGAACAATAAAAGGAACAAAATAAATTACTAATTTCGGACAACATTATCTATTCAATTATTAAATTATATAAAAAAAGGCAATTATAAAAATTACATAAATAAATAACATCATTATTATTTAATCAAATTAAAATAAATTAATTATAAAAAAAATTAATCTTGTAATCATTTGGAAAATATATTTACAAACAAAAAGTTCCAAATTAAATACATTTTAAAAAAATGTAAAAAATATTTATATTATTTAAATAAATTTGAAAAAAAAATTAAAGATTATGTCATAAAAAAAGGGAACAACACAAAATTGTTAATTTTAGATAATATTCAATTATTTATATTAAATAAAAGATAATTATAAAAAAAAAATAACATAATTTAGTTTTAATGAAATAAAAAATTAAATTAATTACAAAAATTATAAAAAAAATAAAAATCAATATATATTTTCCAAAAAAAATTACAGACTATTAACAATCGATCCATGACTGTGGCTGCTAACAGTCAACTCGCTGTTAACAGTCGGGTTGACCTACTGTTTTTTGACCGTCTTTCACGAAACTCGTCGAAAATCGTCATTGTCGACGCCATAGAGGTCCAAAAATTACAAAAAAAATCACATTTTTCACCCCAACATGTCCACAATCTAACTACTCATGCTCATAAGATCTAATTAAACCCATTAAATGTCATATTATTCAATAAATTAACCGGGACAAAAAATGTAATATTATTCTATTTTGACAAAAATTTACGAAAAAACTAACCAGTATTGTTCTTTTCGGTGTAGATCGTGCTTCTGGTCGGCGATTTAGCTTACTACGACGTTGGTGTAGTTGGCCGGTGGTTAATCGGTCAATTTTCAGGCGACCGTGCGAAGGTTTGTTTTTTGGTCGATCGATTAGAGAGTCATAGCGTTGAAGGGTAAAATCGTCCTTTTAGTGTAAAGTTTTTTTTTAAACTTAATTTTTTTAATTTATTTACTGGGTCAAAAGTCAATGTCAAAATTTGCTACATTTCAAGAGCCATTTTCGTGTATTTCCTCGTGATATCATCAATGCCTTCTTTCTCACTCAACATCTCAGTCTCACGCGCATGTACTTATTGTATGTATATGTATATCTGTATGACTGTATCTATACATATTCTTTTCGGGTTGCTTCTTTTACTGAATTTTGATTTTCATCTTTTCTTTTTTTTCTGTTTTTCTATTTTGTTGCACACTCAATGACGTAAACTCATTACTTTGTTCTATGTTTGAACTCGCTGCACACAAACAGAGAGAAAAATTGATCATAAGTTGAATTCTGCATTGTTTCGTTTGTCAACAGCGGAATTTGAAATTTTGAATAGAATTGGGATTTCTGAAATTTTTATATTCTGTTGGGGAGTTCTGAGGATTGAATATAATGGAAAAGGAGAAGGAGAAGTATCCTATAGGAGCAGAAAATTACATTCTGTATGAGGAGATCGGGACGGGAGCCAGCGCCTTGGTTCATCGCGCTCTTTGTAATCCTCTTAACGAGATTGTTGCAATCAAAATTCTCGATTTTGAACGCGGAAATTGTGATCTGGTAATTCCCTTGTTTTCAAATTTAGCCAAGAGGTTTAACGCAATTTTCATTGTTTTGCTAATTCAACTTGTGATGTATTTCAAGGAATTTGGGATGTTGCTTAGAATTTTTCAGTGCAAGCTTTGAGTTTAAAATATGAATATAGTATGTATTAAGAAAGATTGTATTTTGCCATTTTGGTTAACTGAAATATACAGTATTGATTGTTAGTTACCTGCTATTATGCACTATTAAGAGGTTTTTACGTACAATCACTCGCATACTTAGATTGTTTCACGATTAAGTGCATGTACCTTTGAGTAGTGCAGTTTGTTTTTTACATGTGAAACCACCTTAGGAATGAATGTTTTTTGTTTGCTAGCTTGAAATGACGGTTTTAGATCTTGTAAATGCATTCAAATTTAAATTGGTTTCTACTAACATTTTAATCGTGATAATATCTGATATACTTGAAAACTCATAACCATTTATTGTCTCAATTTTTGATGGCCTCCACATTGAGACGGTACGGAAGTCAGCGTTCAAGAAATTCACTAAATGAAGTGGCCACCTAGTGCTTGGCCATGAATTACTGAAAGAGAAATCTTGAAGAATTATTTTCTACTCCTCTATTTTTGGAATCATCTCATCTCCGTTTGGATAAATGTCAAGTTGGCCTTAAGTTGATAATACCTTGAATATATCAACCTTCTACAAATGAAGAAATTGGAAGGTACCTTATTTGACAGCATGTTATCAGCAGTTGCATTCTTACATTGATATTAAGTAGAAGTTTTTACTTTGTTGCTCAAGTGGGATTCCTATCTTGCCATGCCTTAGCGTTATCTGTTTTTAATATATATTCCTAACTTTAATCTGGAGGCTTGTTATGTATTTTTATTGTGATTGAATATGAGATAATCCTTAAGGTCATTCTGTAGGAAACTATTCTGCTATAGTTACTTGGTTTGCCTTTGACATATTATTGTTTTGGTTTATTCTGTGGTTCTTTTTATCCTGGATAACACAAAAACTACTTCTGACTTAATTCTTGCATTTTACCACTAGAATAACATTTCACGGGAAGCACAAACGATGGTTCTGGTTGATCATCCCAATGTTCTTAAATCACACTGCTCCTTCGTTATAAATCATAATTTATGGGTTATAATGCCGTACATGGCCGGAGGTTCTTGTCTCCACATATTGAAGGCCTCACACCCAGATGGTTTCGAGGAGGTTGTTATTGCTACAGTTTTGCGTGAGGCATTGAAGGGCTTGGACTATCTTCACCAACACGGTCACATTCATCGGGATGTTAAAGTGAGTGGTTTATTTTTATTAAAATGCCTAATATGTCGTTTCGTTAATCCTTTCCTCAGTTTCTTTGCACCACTTCATTTATTGAGCAGCTAAATTACAAATCATTGTTGCAGACTTGCAGTGTATACCTGCTAACATCATAGTGACTTTTTCTTGGGAAAATTGACGAATCCATTAATGTATTCATAATAGTTTCTGAAACCTTTAGAAGCAATAGGATTGGTTCAGAGTGATCCCTAAAGTCATGGGCAGTGTACGTAGATCATTATATTATACTTTATAATAACTGTCCATAAATGATCTCAACACCGTGATCATAGGCATAGCTTTTGAACTCCTTTCTTGTTTCCTGTTTTGAACACCAAAGCTTCGATATTACTTCCTTCTCATTTATCAAACAAACAAAGCTTTTGTTTGGACATTAAGTAACATCTTCTTTACATTTTGTTAGAGTTTCTGTTGCTCCCCTCTATATTGCTTGGTATCAACACTTAGGCTCAATTACACCTTAAAATATTTTCTCATAAATGTGATTACCTATTGAGAGTGCCTGGAATACTCATTTCCATCAGATATTACTATAGTAGCCTTCTATTCCTTGTAGTTGAACTTCGAAAACTGATTATCCTTTTTGTTACTGCAAATTGAAATTCACTCGTACAAATACCAAAATAGTGTCCCTGCTAATTGACTCTGTACTGCTAATGAAGTTTTAATTATTACAGGAGTTTTCTTCCGAGTCCACTTGTTACAGCTTTTATGCAACTCAGTAAATTTAACCTTTCAGGCAGTTGTAATTTCCCCTCCCTACTGTTTTGCATATTGATATGGATACAACAAGGTAAACGTGTCATTGAACTCATTTCTGTAATTTGAAGCTATATGTAGAAGAGAAGTGGCTTCAGTTCATCTGAAAGTTTATAGTTTCTCCTAGAAGTACAAGGAGAAAACTTTAACTGCACTGACATAATTTAAGGTTCACATTTTCGATTATAGCAATGGAAGTTGATATAGATTCTGGAATAAACAGTAGCATCAATTAGCACTCAACCATCACTGGATAGCTTTTCCAATGCCCTATTAGTAAATTAACACCAGGGTACTGGCACATGTTGTAGGATAGAGCATAAAGTTCTATTTCACACTTATCAGCTTAACATTCGACGACATTTCTTTCAGGCTGGAAATATTCTCATTGATAATCATGGTGGAATCAAACTGGGGGATTTTGGTGTTTCTGCATGCTTGTTTGATTCAGGTGACAGACATCGCATGAGGAATACATTTGTGGGCACTCCTTGCTGGTATAAGTCAAAACAGTAATTGTGTACAAATTTTACTGTTACTTGAGCAATCGTTTCTCCTTGTGTGGTTGATCACTTACGGGAATTCACTTCTTTTTGTCTGTCCTTTATGACAAGAAACATGGCAAACAACAAATGTGTCCGGAGTGATTAAAATATATTCCATAAAGATTAATGCAAACTCCAAACATTAATAACATGTTGATCTTGCTTGTGTAAAGTGTCTGCTTAATCCATCCATTATCAATCTGTTACCTGTAATTGGAGGATATTTATTGTTTTGCAGGATGGCACCGGAGGTCATGGAGCAATTGCATGGTTATGATTTCAAGTCTGTCTACATGCTGCTTACATTTGTCTATTCTTGTTATCCTAATTGAATATTTAAACATATAACCGAGTTAGATGTTTTGCTATTTCTGCAGAGCAGATATTTGGTCTTTTGGTATAACTGCTTTGGAGCTTGCACATGGCCATGCACCTTTTTCAAAGTATCCTCCAATGAAGGTGCTAGTGTTATAATGACATATTTTCTGGTTTTGTGGAAGCCCTATTAGTTTCCCATGATCCACATTGTATGTGTTATATTTTACTTATTCAGGTATTGCTTATGACCTTGCAAAATGCGCCACCTGGTCTCGATTATGAGAGAGAGAAAAAATTTTCTAAGGTATATACGTAATAATCATTGATTAAATATTGCAAGAATCTTTGGACGTGCCTTTTCTTTATGTTTGGTTTCTGTAGTCTTTTAAGCAGATGATAGCTAGTTGTTTGGTGAAAGATCCATCAAAAAGGCCATCAGCAAAAAAGTTATTAAGGCATTCTTTTTTCAAGCAAGCTAGATCAAGTGATTATATTGCAAGTCTTCTGGAAGGGCTCCCAGCTCTTGGTGATCGTCTTCAGGCAATAAAGGTGTGTGATCTTCTGTGGATATGATACTACTATAAGTTGTAAATATCACCTCTACAATATGTTCTGTATTAATGGATGCATGTTTTAAAATTAACCTAGAGAAAGGAGGAAGATATGCTTGCACAAAAGAAAATACCAGATGGGCAGAAAGAGGAAATGTCTCAGGTTTGATTTTTGGCTCCATGACTAACACATAGTTTTCTTGGTATATCAATGCACTGGAGATATACAATGAATGATCTTTCTGATTTTCCATTTACTGAAATGTAGGACATTGGTGTAAAACAATAACAATAGTCTAATATCTAGGTTTTTTTTTTTTTTGTTTGACAACTAATATCTAGTATGTTAATGATAGCGGAGTTCTTTTATCTGTTCTACACAACATGGCGACTATGTGCTGGTTGTAATTCAAATATTTTCTTTCCCTTGACATCTGACTTAAAAAGATACTTTGATAGAAAAAGCGACAAACTAGCTGTATTGGCTCATGTTTAAAAATCATAATAAATCACGAAAAAAATTCTACGTCTTCATCATATAATTTCCACTTGAGCATGTTACATTAATTTACAGCTACCACACTTTTAGTCGTCATTATATAATTTCCACTTTTCCATTAAGATCAGAATTTATTTGGACATGAGTTGGGTCAGCCTCAAATTACCAGGTACAGGAAACAAGATTTTTATATTTGTGTTGGAATATTGCCTCATTCCTAGAGGCATATGCATTGGTAATTTTTCTTTTCCTTGGGCTTATTTGGATTGTCTCATTTCTAGGCAGGACTTCATTTTGCCTTGTTAAGAAATTGGGACGCTAAAAAACTTAAATATGCCCTTTCTTAGTCCACTTAATTTATGTAACCCTCTTTTGAGATGCATCTCTATTTCTCCGCAATCCCCTGCTCCCTATATCACAAACTTTAGACTATTTTCCATCTTACAAACCTCTTAGGCTACTTCTCATTCCACAAATCCGTGAGGTACATTTCCAATTGGTCATGGCTAATAAATTGATTTTTTCAGGTAAATAAAAGCTCAGGTTTAGTGAAAATTTTGTTGATAGATTAGCATAATAGTCAAACTGAAAGTAGAATCTTAATAAGTGGCTGTTAATTTTACAGGAATAATAACTCGTCAACTGTATCTTCTGTTCATGGGTTTTGAAGTTGTTATAGACATGTATTGTGATGATAGGTGTTCGGCTAAGTTATATTTTGTTTTCTACATTTTTAACACCCTTAAGAATATGTGCAGAATGAGTATAAACGTGAGATTAGTAGTTGGAACTTCAACGTTGATGATATGAAAGCTCAGGCTTCCTTGGTATTCAATTCTGTTTAGCCTTCCATTTTTTCAAGTTTGTGTGACTGATCCAATTTTTTTGGGACAGTAATTATATGTCATCTTCTCTCGTTTTCAGATCAAGGATGAAGATATTATAGCAGCAAAAGATGAAGATATGCACGGCAAACAACTTCAGCTTCAGTTATCTTCGTCCAAACAGTTATCACATCTTCAACGTCAATCATCTTTAACGAGTCAACATTCAGAAGTAGTAGATTCTGTATGTTCATACCATTTTTGTTGTTCTATATGAAGGCAGATAGCTATTCGATCTTTCTCTGGAGCCTAACAATACAATTCTTAACAGGATGATAATAGTCAGCCTGCTTCGCTTTCATCGGTGGACTCCACTAATAACAAGTATGAATATCATATATTCATGTTGTCCATAGACTTTACATCATGTTTATAACACGTATGATTCTGATAACTATATTTTTACTGTTTTCAATAAATATTCAGTAATATGCAATTGTTGCCTAGTGTTTACATTTGTGGTACTATTTATGTAGAGTTTATCAAAAAGTAGTTATTGAACTTATTATTTTGTTTAAGGATTGATCATGAAAAATCCGTCGATCATGCAAGCATTGCTAGTTCGACCAGCAAGCAAAAAATATCCCATAATTTGTCTCTTGATAGCAGGAATCACATGGAAAATAATTTGCCAAGTAAACCCGAATCAGATATTACTGGAAAATTATCAGAGGGAACTCCTACATATCCCCATCAGAAGTATAATGTTTGTTTTACACAATCACTTGAATCCTTAAATGATCCGTTCCTTGTACAATTACAGAATTAGTTCTCTTCCATTCATTTTTAAGTTTGTTAATGTGCATTTTCCAATCGAAAAAAGATGATTTCAGCCAAACATTATTCTAATAAAAAGTCAAGCGTGGTAGTAGCGATCCCTTTAAACATTGTAGGAATACTGGTTGTCTTTTACAAATTGTTAGTTTTACTTTTATGAGAACTGTAACTTTTGATTCACTTTTTTGTATGAAATTTGACTCAATCCTAGTTTAAATTTCCACTTGGTTTATCTCGATTTACATATAGGCTTCCTCTTTCTCTACTCTTGGATATACGCGTAATACTAACCAACTTGAATTCCAGTGGAAATTCTTGTTGATGAAGATGTGTTTAGAAGTCTATTTTATACATCTATGAAGCAAAGCAAGGAATCCCCATTTGAATGATTCACAGTCAATATCATTACTAGTACTAAAATTTATGAAGTCGTTTTTTTGAAGATTCAAGAAATTCCAGGATTTGGAGAAAACTTTGTAATCCCCCCTTGTCAGGAAAAGGATCCTCTCTCTCTCTCTCTATATATATAATAATAATAATAATAATAGAAAGTCTGGATATTTATCCAATTTACCTCATTTTTCTTTATAGTACATGGAATACATATGGTGAGCTACAACAATGGTTAAAGAGCCTAACATAGCTAGGTTAAGAGATAGTTGAGCATGTCGTGACATTGTTAAGATCTCATATAGGCCTTTATGACCCTGACTAGTAAATGGACCTTTATGAGCTTCTCAAAAATCTTTTAGGCCATGGCCTGGGTAATCCTAGGAGGACGACATGTCCATATCCCACACTTGTATCTGTAACACACTAAGTTGTGTCCTGCACAAACATGGCATGTCCTATTTCTTATATGTGTTTTAAATTTTCAACATTAGAGGGACACTTTAGGCATACTACACAGGCACATATCCAACATGTGAAGTAGCATGCACTATATTGTTGATATTCTTTTTAGTTCTAACATGCAAGAAACATGCCCTTGACACATCAAGGACAAGGAAAGTCTTATTTTACGAATTAGAATATAAAATTGAAGAAATTTTTTATTATTAGAACATTTGTCCAAAAAAGTCAATATAATGTGAGAAATGTTCTATAAACTTCATGTCGATTCTTTTACATCTACTACATATGTATATATATACATACATACATACATGTATGTATGTATGTATGTATGTGTGTAATAAGTACAATTTTTAAGAAATTAATTTGACGCGTCCTTAACCTGTCGATATCCTACCTTTGTGGAAAATTACAATTTGGCATGGAAAGTGCATCTTAGCCATACATAGATTTGATCCTAGGATTTTTGGTCGACTTGGTTTCCCAATGAAATTCTATTTAGTTGTGAAGTTACTTTGCTAGAGAAGTGCTTTGCCTTCATTATATATTGTCACTGCACTATTCTAGTGATTGTGTTTTGATAAGTTCCTGGGCTAGGCATTCCTAGGAGATTAAATACCCTTTTTATCATCAAAGACTAACACTCAACATTTATCGAGTCAGGAAGACAGGCAGACTCTTCATGAACTAAAAGAAATTTGCATCAAAATTTTCAAATTGATGTTTAGTACTCTAAGATTGAGAATGTTGCTTTATTATGCACGCAATAGCTAATGCTATAAGAAAATCCGGTTAGAGATACAGGTAGAAGTCTATTTATAAAAAAAGGGTTGGTCGGATGGAACAATTGGTATTCAGATTCAACTTAAGTCTATCATAAGGGAAATGTCATCGCTTCAAATCCGAAGGACGCAACAAAAATTCATGAGAGGTAAGATGGGCTCAAGCTCTTCCATAGCGGCTAATACATAGGTTAACAGATTAGGCACGAAGGTTGGATCTTTACGTTAAGGGATTGGTGCGGTACAAGAATTTCGTGCTTTTTTATACTTGTCAATTAGTATTTTGAAAGGAGACATTTAACAGCATAACATTTAGAATCTACCAATAGTTGCAGTTAGAATTACTAATTCATGCACTTTCTGGGTTCTAAAGTTCTGTTTAAGTTATTTATTTGCAAAGCATATATAAAATTTTATGTCATATTTTTCTAACAAGCTTGAATTATTTTCTTTTCATTATTTAGTGATAAACTCCAAAGTGAACCCCAAACCTCATCCTGTTGCAATGGACCTTCCATTTCTCAAACAGTAGATGATGTGCAATTGCAAATGATTTCAAAAGGTTCAAGAGCACCAGACGAGTTACTTTTATCATTTTGAACTTTTGGATTCAAAGAACATTAAATTTGGTGTCAGATTCTTATAATACATGTCTGCACATTTATGATGCAGCAAACAGTGATGAACTTGACGAGAAGGAAAAGTGTCCAGTTGTTCAACAAAAAGGACGTTTCAAGGTTACATCTGAAAATGTTGATGTTGAAAAGGTTAGTATTTGGGTCTCAATGTCATTAATCTTGTTTATAATTGGTTCGGACTAATTATTTCATTCCTGTAGGTGGTTCCAGCTCAAGTGCTACACAAAAGCCACAGCGTGCAGGTTTGTATTTGAAATCATATTAGGAAAACTGACTCTATTATTCTTCATGCACAGAATGTATTGTACAAGGGAGATTTATAGAGGAATGACACAAAGATACCTAATTAAACTAAGAAACTACTTGCACTGCATAACCATAGTCCATAGCTTACATTCCTTCTACTTTTGAGGATCCAGTTCAGTGGGAAGATGAATCCTGATAAATGACTTCTTATATTCAATAACAACCAGAGACTTTTGTTTTTTATAGCTATAATGTTGAAATGCAAATTTCTATATAGCATTTGACTTTATTACTGGTTATATTAATTAACAAAAAGTACAAAAATTCTCGAGATAACAAAGAAATGTATTTAGATTATAATGGTTTACTAATAGATGATTTCTAAGCGATATCTTGCTTCAAAATGGTTTTGATTTTGAGATTCTACCACTCGTTTTTTGGAACCTCGAGATAATTAGAAGTACGTGCTTTAAGACATCTTCAAATTAAAAATTTAGTACTGGTCGAGTTTATGACTTGTTAAATCTTCTCTCAACACAATTTACACCACAATTATTGTTTTCAATTAGAACATCTTATGCATGCATTGTGGGCTATGTAGGTGACATCTCAGCATCCTGCTAATTCTCCACCATTGCCACCCGATGCTACACTATCAAATCCTTTTGGTCTAGCTCTTTTTCCTGCTTTGCAGTCTGTTTTGCATACAAACATTCTTCAAAGGGTATGGGCTAGTCACGAAGTTGCAATCTTCTTTTCCATTCATTTTTCTTACTCTCCTATTTTTTCTTTACTTCCCCTCCCCAACAGGACTGTATTCTTAGTCTCATGAAGCAAATCACCGGACGTGGCTCTACAGGTGTGAGCAATCATTGTATCTCGAGATTTTTCATTTACATCAATTTTTTGTTCTCACCCAAGTGTTTAGCCTTTTCTGCAGATGTGGGATGTGCGTCGATGAACCCTGGCATGGAGGAGAAATCTTTGGTATATATTGTTATAAGGTTGCCATTAAGTAGATGAAATTTGTCAAAACATATTTTAAATAAATATATTTTCCTTCTCTCTAATGGCTTAAACTTTTACATGAGGTGGGTCGAGTTCATGTCTCGCAACTACTAAATTATTAAATTGCGCATGTGTATGGGCTTTGATGAAAAAATGAATTTAACATGCCTAGAAATAAAGAAAAAAATTAAGGAATAATTTCTATCCCTTCTTAATAACTTAAACTTTTAGATGTGATAATTCAATAAATATTATCAACATTTTGTTTACCGTTGCAGTGTCAAATTTTATTGTAACTACACGACTGTCTACTGGGGTTAGGTTATGTACTGTCTACTGGGGTTAGGCCCCAACAGGATTTTTAATTCGTGTCCTCAGGGATTAGAACTCAAGACCTTTCCTTTCTAAAGAGACTTCAATGGGATGTTGGTGTCAGTATGGCAAGTGAAGCACAACCTGACGGTATGTAAGCTAACATCTCCAAGTGAATAGCCCCTGGGAGAATGGTCAAGATTGGGAAAATCGGAGGTCGTTACAGTTACCTTCAGATTTTTAGCTCATGATAACATATGTTAAACTGATGTGTAGATTTGCTAGAGATTCCCTTCCTCTTCAACAATACCCATTACAAGCTTTGATCTATTAGATGATTTACTTATTCAATCATTTTGTGGTATTCACTGGGAATTATGTCTGTTAACATTTTTTGTAGTTTGAATTACTCTTGCATGACTCGCTTAAGAATAATTGTTGAGTCAACATTCAATATCAAATAATTCACCTTTAAGCATTAAATTTTTCATTACTATATTTGCTTTTTCCTTTAGATTTTCGTTTAGCTCTTCTAAACCTTAAATGTCCTGTATGTTTCGTTGGTATATTACCTTTTACACGTTGATTTACCAGTTTTAGTATTTCTTGGTTTTCTAGCTGGAGGTAGCTCATGATCGTGAAAAGGAATTGCTTCGAGAGATAACTGATTTACAGTGGAGGTACTTGTGACTATATCTGCATACCATATACAACAATTAAGGTTATTGGATCGAAATAATTTTTAGTTAGCTTCTCTTATATAGGCTTGTATGTGCCCAAGACGAGCTCCAGAAATACAAAAAAGAGAATGGTCTTGTCAACTCTTGATCAAAGGTGGCTAGACGGGGTATCTACAGAGACAAAATCCTCAAAAACTAGCAGTAAATGGTTTTAGAGGAACAGAAGTTTAACATTTGCATGCTAGATTGAACATTAGAAGTTAACTTTCATATGTACATTTCTTTTCCATAAGCTGATTATATCTTTTTATTGCTCCATCAACATTATCTTATTAAAATCTATCGCTTGATATAGTTTGTTTCTGAATTGATGGGGGGTGTTGCGAGTCTACTTTTATTGCTTTATATTGTTAATATGGCGAATTTAATCTTATTTCCGCCGTCTAAGTTTCCCATTTTCATTTGCTTAAATCTCTTTAATTTTAAACCTTCAATTTTTATAGCAACTCAGTGCATTCAGTTCTCGCAGCATCCACCCTCTATGTCTCAGTGTTGAAGTTACATTTGTTTCGGTTCTATTTTTTTCTCTCAAAAGACCGAAGATGGAGTACTCTGACCAAATAATGCTCACGATATAGTTTAAAAGGTTATTAAGAACACCAACAATTTGTGAATATATTTATCAATTGATTTAACCTTTAGAGTGCTCAAATATTATAATAAATAATAAAGTTCTCAATCCATTCAAGCGATGGAAAGGCAGAAGCCTTCATTGTCCTCTTTAATAAAGAATTTGACCATACTCGAACGGCGGAAATTTTGAAATTCACATCATTCTCTGGCTTAATCCGTGGTATAGATTTTTAAATAGTGTGTGTGTGTGTGTGTGTGTATATATATATATATATTTTTTTTTTTCTCTCTCTCTTTTTGAATGGTTAAGAATTTATTGGATTCTCAATAATTTTCCAATTTCCAATTTTCTTCTTTATGACAACCCATTTAATTAGCAAAAATGCTCATTTTCCACCACATTCTCTTGTTTTTTGACCAGACAATCTTCCTCTAAATAGGGGGATCTGAGCTTGTTCCTACAAACCATCAACATTTTAGGTCCATTCATTTGGATATAAATTTCACAATTTCCTTCCACTCTCAGCATCAGATATCAGAAGTACACAATAAATTGTGAAAATGAGTGCTAAAATTACTCTCTTGTTTTCTTTAGCTTTTGTCCTTCTGTTCTGCAAAGCCAATGCCGCTAACATTACCAAACTGTTGAACCAGTATCCAGACTTCAGCAGTTTCAACGACTACCTAACGAGAACTGGACTAGCCACTGATATCAGCTCGCGCCAAACGATCACGGTCCTAGTTGTAGACAACGGCAACATTTCCCCGTTATCCGGAAAATCGGATGCTGCCATCAAGAAGATCTTGAGTGTTCATGTGATTCTTGATTATTACGACGTGAAAAAACTTGAAAACTTACCGAATAAGACGGCAATTCTTACTACACTCTACCAATCCAGTGGCCAGGCCACTGGTCAACAAGGATTTCTCAATGTGACAGATGTGAGTAGTGGAAGTGTTGCCATTGGTTCTGCAGAAAAGGGTGAATCTTTGGGGGCTAATTTAGTTAAGTCCATTGCTTCACAGCCATATAATATATCACTATTACAAATTAGTACTCTTATCATCCCATTGGGAATTGACAGCACAACCTCAAAGAATTCGACTTCTCCTTCACCATCTCCAAGGCCTGCTTCTAGCCCGAAGAATTCTCCGAGTCCTAAGAAATCGCCCCCAAGTGATTCTCCATCACCCTCCAAATCCCCCGGTTCGCCTCCTGTGCCTTCTGATGCACCAGCTGCAGATTCACCAGCACACGATTCCCCTAACGAAGGCACGACTCTCCAGCTTAGTCCGTTTGTCATGTTTATAATAGTATCTTCAGCTGTGTGGCTCATATCAACTATATGAACTAGCACTAGCGTTAAATTATTCCAAAGTTTTGCCTTTTGTTTTGATATTAACATTTTCATTAGATAAATGGATGGTTCTCGATTTAAAATGGAAATAAGTTGTATCAGATTTCTATCTTTTTAATGAGATCTCCAATTCTAATTTTTTTAATTTCTTTTTCATTTAATTTATTTTTCGCCTCTCCGTTAAGATCTATAGCTTTTTCATTTCTACAGCTCTATGCTGATATGTATTTGGTACTCGACATGATATAACAAAAATACGATAGCATTTCACAATCTCGTAAAAAGGATCAACAAAAGCAGAAAAAGGAAAAAAGAAAGGATCATAAAAGGAGTTATAAGACATCAGAAAAGAAAACTCAAGAACTGAGCTGAAGAAACCTTTGTGCCGTAGGATGCGTAGAAATCTGATCTGGTTTCAGTATTTCAACAATCTCACCATCCACAAGAAGGCAAACTACATCAGCAATCCTCTGGATTTGTTTGATGCTGTGGTAGACAAAAAACAATGGTCATTCCTCGATCTGTCTTCAGCTTTATGAGTACATTTTTCAAGGTTCCGAGTCAAGATTGGAACCAACGAGCTTGTGGGCTAATCGAAAACCTTCATTAAAAAGGGTGCATGATTTTAATAAGCACATGTTCGTGCCAAAATTTACTCGATAGGTTATCCCGGGCTCATTAGCTAAGGTCCTAGCAAGTGCTGCTCTTTGAGCTTGACCAATAGATAATTCTCCACCAGATTTGTTGAAGAAAGAAGAATCACAATTAGCAAGAGCGAGTAATTTGTAGACGTCATTGTCATGTACATTATCTGCAACTACAACTGTGTCTCCATAGCTTTCATCATTAAGGTGATTAATACAAGGATATGATGTGCAATATGCTCTTATAACAAAATAAATTTGCCTCAACTGATCCACGGTCAAGGGTACAAGTGAACAATTTTATAAAGCTCCACTCGATTGAACACCCCTCATCAAGCTTGAACCACAAAAAATCGGAAATATTATTCACTAATACATACTTTCAAAGATAGACGGAAGCTGGAATAAGATCCCGACATTGCAACGAACGCTAAGCACATCAAGATCACATATGTCTACACCATCCAAGAGCACAGAAGCAGAGGGAGGCTCCCATAATCTGTTAAGTGCCCAAAAAACGTTGACTTTCCACTTCCACTTGGCCCAATGATCCCCATAATCACACGTTTGCGTTGACTTTGCTCAATGTTGTGACAACCTTGTCTGAAACATTATTTAGATCCCTTACCAACAAGGTTCGGTTCCCGGTCGTGTCACCAGCCTCGTCCATGACTAACAGATACTCTCTTGCACCATTTATATCATCAAGATTCAAGATTAACTCAGAAAAGACTTCAAACACAAACACACAGTAAAAGGATAAATTCAAGGTAACAATCATATTCATATATAGTAACTGTTGGGATTTTCTAACTTTGAAACCTTTCCATAGCATGAAATCAATTTTAATTAATAGCCTAGAATTTTCATTTAGTCCAATTGTTACGCCCCTAACTAAGCCACTTCGGTACTCAACCACTTCGGCACAACATTCACACCACTCTCCGAAGCGCCATGCGTCCATCCGATGTAGTTTCGAAGTGATACCGATTTCTGACGACCTCATGATGCGCTACAAGGTGAAGAGTAGATCCAATGAAGCAACCGAAGTGTCCCTCAACGCCAAAGCGTTGAAGGATCCGAGGCACTCCCTTCACAGATCCCTCCGTCGCCACTGTCAGAAAGATATCTGTCAGGATCTTGATGTGACGTCTCCATAGGTATAGTTGATATGACACATCGACTTTATGTCAACTCAACCCAGAAGAACTAATTGTCCGCCCACACTAGACACAGCTGATTGATGCATATGAGCAGACGCCTCACACCGTCAAATGCATACACGTGTTCCACATCCAGTGGTGCTCTACATCTATAAATACCCAAGATTTGGCAAGAGACAAGTAATGAAACTCTTATAACTTAGCTCTGCATACTAAGAAATATATATTCTCCTCTCTACTCTCTTACATAACTTGAGTACTGTTCCGATCACCCAACACTGACTTGACCATCGGAGTGTATGCGGCCGCCACCACCACTGCTGGTTCGGGCCGTGTGCTTCTGACCGTAGTGTACACAGAGAGGATTACTTGGAGTAGCTATCTGTTGGCCACATGGAGGGTCCAATTCTCGAGGTCAACACTACAAAATTTTCCTCTTCTATATATTTCTTATGATTTCTTTAGTTGCATGGTTCAATCTGTGAATTTTTTCATTTTTTTGTTCGGTCTTTTGATAAATGAAGAGGAGCCTCGCCGCCACTGAAATGTAGGGCCTTCCATCTAACTATCACCGGAGCTGCAGAAGTGTGGTACAACAGATTACCACCCCTGAGTATCAGAAGCTGGCCAGACTTGAAGAAGGCATTTCTAAATCAATACCTTTCACAAAGAGAAGGAGATGCCCTAGTGCAACGCGTGCAAGATATGAGGCAAGCTCCTGGCGAGTCGCTGAAAAGCTATCTTACCAGATTCACCGATGAAATCACATACTGTGAGCAAGTCATTGACAAAGAAGCTCTTTCAGCCTTGAAAGGTGGCCTCAACATGAACACTTTGTTCTGAAGAGATGTACGCAGCAAGAATCTCACCACCTATGACGAGCTGGTTGAAATGATGAGGGTGGAAATCGTTAATGAGGAGATGATTGACCGCTGAAATCGTACGGCTCAGGAACTTCTCCCGCCTCGGAGGCAAATGGGTCAAGGACTGGCCACACACCTCGTCACCCAGCAATGGACCCAGGTCGATCACACAATAGCCCCCACATCCGGATAGGCATTGACTTCAGCCACTCTAAATGCAGTGCCAGTGCTAGCATATGAAAATGCTCTTGCCGAAAAAGGACCATCTGGGGGAACAAACAACAATTGGAAGAAGAAGAAGAAAGGATCAAACAGACCCTTGGAAGGAGCAAGGTTCTGCACCTTTCACCAATTTTACGGACACGACACCAGCGGATGTAGGGATGCTCCTCGATCCTCTAACCGGAGTAACCTACTCTCCTTGAGGAGTGAATACACCCGCAGGTCCACCTCCCCGAATAAAGGAGAGGAGATATAGAGACCAATCACCCCGGAGGAGAGAATCCAAGGACAGAGGAGAATTTAGGCATAGGGATCAGGCCCCATCTGGAGGCCAAATTATCAGAAAAATTGATACAATCATTGGAGGACCTCACATCGAGGGCAACACTATGAACGCCTAGAAGAACTACACAAGGGAAGCAAATGATCCCCCAATGATTACTTACATAGTCAATCAGACCCAAGAGCCACTTTCTCTCAAGAAGATGCACAAGGAGTTCACCACCCCTTGTGACGTGTTGGTAGTAAGAGACATAGTGGCTCGAAATGGACTCAAACGCATGCTCGTTGATAGTGACAGCTCGGTGAATATACTGTTCGGATCTACCTTTGATAAAATGCAGATTAAACATCGATTGATCTCCATGACTGACCCGCTATTTGGATTTACTAGCGGAAGTATCATCCCACGAGGGCGAATTACCCTACCTGTCGAGATGGGGTCAGCCCCCTAGTGGGCCACCACTTCATGGAGTTCCTGGTGGTGGACCATAGATCAGCTTACCATGGAGTATTGGGCCGACCTGGCTTGAAAAATCTTTGGACAATCACATCTATCCATTACTTGTGTATGAAGTTCCCAACTGAGTATGGGATTGCTACAGTGCGAGGCGACCAAATGGGCTCAAGGGCATGTTATCTCAACTTTCTACGAAAATCGAGCCCCGCGCCGTTAATGTCATTATAACAAAAGTCGACAACGAAGTCGACATGGACGTAGAAATGCTTGACGCTCCTGAACAAGGGTATTCCTCCGAACAGGAGGGAGACGTAGACATGGTGGAGGCCCCTGAAGAAGGGCACCCTCTTGATGAGTTGGATCCTCGAATTATCGAGTCAAAACCAAATGCGACTCCAATGGAAGAACTGAAAACTTTCCCCATCAACCCTGAGGACCCCACTCAGGTCTTGCGAATAGGGAAAGCATTACCCCCCGAGGTGAAAGAAAAAGTGATGAACTTCCTGAAAAGGAATCTGGATGTCTTCACTTGGAAACACGAAGACATGGCGGGAATAGACCCAAGGATCAGTTGTCACTACCTTAACATCAACTCCTCCTGTGCCCCACATCGGCAGAAAAGACGAGCCCTCAACTCAAAGCGACATGAGGCGCTCAAAGAAGAAGTCGAGAAACTTAGCAGCAGTGGCTTCATCAGAGAAGCTATCTACCCAAAGTAGATATCCTACCCTGTCCTCGTAAAGAAACCAAGCGGGAAATGGAGAGTGTGCGTAGACTTCACAAATCTGAACAAGGCGTGTCCTAAGGACAGCTTCCCTCTCTCAAGAATTGACCAACTGGTAGACTCCATTACTGGATATGAGCTATTGAGTTTCATGGATGCATACTCAGGGTACAACCAGATACCCATGTTCCGACCTGATGAGGAATCCACATCATTTATCACAGACACAGGATTGTATTGCTATAAGGTGATGTCATTCGGATTGAAAAATGTCAGAGCTATCAGAGGTTGGTTAACATGATGTTTGCCGAGCTCATTGGCAAAATTATGAAAGTCTACGTGGACGACATACTAGTTAAAACCTCCAGGCGAGAGAACATGTAAGTCACCTCGAACAAACCTTTCAGATTCTTAGGAAGTACAACATGAAATTGAACCCCCTCAAGTGCACCTTTGGAGTTGCTTCGGGTCAATTTCTAGGATATATTGTGAACCAGAGAGAAATCGAGGCAAATTCATAAAAGATAAAGGTCATACTGGAAATGAGGCACCTCAGAAGCCAAAAGAGGTACAAAGTCTCAATGGTCGAATAGCCACGCTCAACCACTTCATTTTCAGAGCCACTGATAAGAGCATACCTTTCTTCAAAATCTTGAAGCAAAGAAAGAATTCCAATGGATGAGCGAATGCAAGGAAGCCTTCCAAGCACCGAGGAAGCATCTGGGAGAGGCACCCCTACTATCCAAGCCTCAACCGCAAGAGCCACTGTTGCTGTACTTGGCGGTTTCAG